AATTAGCTACGCAAAATTACTCTGTTTAACGAGTTCCGAACGGGACGGCGATTTTTTTTTAAAAATTTAATTATTTTTTTTTTTAGTCGGATAATCGATGTGCTTATTTTGAGTGTTCGCCGAACCTATCATTGCCGTGTTTTAGTGTCGGCGTGATTAGCTGACCGTTACACGCATCAGCCGACCATAACACGACAAAAATCAACTCCAGCCATATATTATATTGTGTTATGCGTGCCTACTGTATAATACCTGTTACCGTAGGCTGCACCAGCTATAGCCGTTGGCCTACTGTGAATAACCGGATGTGTAGTGAATACTATTTTTCTTCCGCTGTAACAGTTTTAAAAGGGTACGTGCATTATGTATTTAACACAACATAGCGACAGAGATGCTGGAAAAAAATCGTTTTTGATTTTTGATAATTGCCTATACCTGCTTAATTATTTCTTTAACGTTCGAGATGCAAGTCCCGTAAATGTACTGTGTAAAATGAGTAGAAGTAATTATTTTGTAATATGTACATATGTACGTTTTCTTATTTTTATTATTCAATGGAATTATAGGTTGCAGCTAATTATATTCCATTTTTTATTTTACTTTTTTGTGTTGAATTATGTTCATTCTTTCTGGTAGCAGTTATTTTATTTTATTTTAGCAACATATGCCCCTCGTCGTCTATGCAATGATACAAATAGGTTTTTAATAGTAATCCTAAACATATTTTACTTATAAAAGTGAAGTACAGTGGAGTAATTAAGAGGAATTATAAACACCTATTACTCCAAGGCCTAACCATTTGAGGGAATTTGATAAAAAAACAATAATGAGTTATTCAAAACCATTTAAGTTTTGTTTACAACTAATACCTATATTTATCTTTTATTGACTTATTGATTATTTTATACTGTGATGTAGTTTTAATTATAAACTTAAGTTAATAAAAATATAAATTAACAAAATAATTTTAACATTCATTTACTGTTGAACCATTTAATTACTATGAAATATTATCCTAAATATACTTACACTTTTAAAGAGTGATTACGCCATTGAAGGGAAATTAGTATTTTTTAACTTGTTTTTAATATTTATAGTTCGTATAATTTTTTTATAATTTCAATAAATACAACTATTATAATGTATTATGATTGTTTATCTTAAGTTAATTTTTAATTTTAAGTATAAAGATTTGACATTTGTGTAGTAGACATAAACCACAAATGAGAGAAATATATTTATGTATTTTTTTTTTTATAATTTTCCAATTTACCAGTAAATGTTTTTTTAATCATGGTAAAATCTTCTCTTTTACTTACTTTTCCTGTTTTCAAAAAAAAAAAAAAAAACGATCGAATTTTAAATAGTTAATTCGTTTACAATCGAATCTGTAATATATGTATTGGATACAAACCACTATGCTCGATGGGTGTATATAGTGCAATTACCCATTGAAATTATATAGCCGTACGCAAAATATATAACATTAGCTTTATGTATACACAATTTAATGTGCATATTTTGATTTTGCACGGGTCGTACCACTTTTAAATTTCGTTCTAGCCGTTTCATAATATTGTGTGCAAAGAGGTCGTGAGAGTTATTATAGATTATTTTTACCACTGGGTCGTGAATCGTGATTATATTTATGATCGACCAGACTACTAGAAATCCGGTAGTACCGAGTTATCAACCAGATAAGTGCACATCGATGATTTACTTCAAGTCCAAATCAGGACGACACGCCTCCAAGGCCGCACGGCTTAAATGTTTCTGTTCGAACCTAATACGGTATTATTATAAATGGCATTGTCGTGGTCATGATCATTTTGTGGTCAACTGAAAACTTCAGGAACTGTTCGAATGTCGGATGATTGTAATGTTATGTATTATTAATGCATTATACGGGTAGTTCCTGCGCACCAACATGGTCGATCAGGGTCATGGCGAAGGAAACTATCATGACGGCGTATAGACACTGTAGTGTTTGTGTATTCATAAGGAAAAAAAAGAGCTGTCAAGCTAGCTAAAAAAAAAAGTATCGTTAAAAAAACCGCACACACAAACCGACAGTGTAATGTAGGTCTTCCGCAGAGTTTAGTTTAACTGTGACGATAGTAATAATAGTGAAATGTATATCGCACCAATGATAGAGCGGTTTTAGGGTTGGAATTTCTTATGAACCATACTCGTTGCCTCATTTTTATGCTATTAATTAAATTATCAGTCTTCGAAATCGTATGTAAGACGGCGTTCGTGTAAAGTTCAACGTTTATTGGTTTTGCGATGGATTTGGAGCGAAAACTTTCGAATTTTTTTGGCAGTAGATTTTTTTTCGGTATTATTTATTTTTGTATATTTACTTTTACAATCAATTTACTCGCCCTAGGCAAAACAAATTTATTTGTCAAGTAGTCAAAAAGACGCAATGATTATTGGTATAATATAACAGACGACGAAAAAAATAATTGGAACAAAAAAAAATATTACCCATATTATTGTACATTAAACGCGTTTATTAATTGGAGGTAAATTATAAGAAATCAACGTTTGGCTATTTTGTCGGGGGACTTGTTATCATATTTTCCATAAATTAGCCCAAGATAATAAAATATGTTACTAAAATGGTCGCCGATAATAAATTACACTAGCCCATCCTGACCCTCCTTATAGTATCTATGAAACAAGTACAATTGCGTGATTTTTATTTGTAATTTAGACGAGTATTACGGATAGTAATTTATTGGCTTTTATTTCTCCACGATAAATTTGTGTTATCTTCCCTAAAATATGACTTCACTCTCTTGCGTTTTTTTTTAAATTTCGTACTGGTTACAATACTGGCCAGGCGTTATCATAAAACTTTTTGGATTTCAACGTGCCTCAAAACATTAATTAGTTATCAGATTCTGTCTGGGTGGTGTTGACGACCTCGATATATTTTGTCTGGCGCCCATTAGTTTATTAAAATAAAAAATAATAATAAATAAATCGTACGTGTATAATCAAACTTACAATCACGTCTTTTTTTTCCGAACGAAAAAAAGTGTAATCCGTTGTACAACAATAGTAGATACAGTTTCATTGTGTCGTCGAACGGGTTCAACATTAAAAAAAAAAAAATAAAAAAAATAGTCCGACGGGATTCACAATAACAATATAACCTAGCTGCCGCTATATTTCACATGCATGTATTGACCGCAAGACAACAATCGTTTTAGATGTGTATGTGTATTATATTATCTTCCACAATATAATAACCGAGTACCGTTGGAAATGGGGAAACGGAAAAATTTCTAATGGGCCGTCGCATATTATAGTGTCGCTGATTTTTTATTATTATTATTTTTTTTTAAACATTATACTAACGGAATTCAATACCATACGTGTAAGCTACACTGCATATTACAAGCTATTCTTGATATTAATATACATATACACAATACAATATTATTATACAGTATTGACTGTTGTTCTGCTGCATTCAAATTATCTACAAGCGATTGCTCGTCAAAGGTTCTGGACTAAATTTAAACAGAATTCCTTGTTCGTTAAATTTGTTTTTTTTTAATTTGTACTGCTGCCGTCCCACGTGACTAATTCAGCATTACTAAAATAATATAGTCTAATTATAAGCTGTGGTCGTTGTTCTCTGTTTTATATCTAACTGAAACTCGATAGTTTTCTCTTTTGTCCGCTTTCAAATGTCGATCGTCAATATGCCATACACGTGTTGGATCAACTGTTTATAGTATATGATTGATAAACACTAATATAAATATATATACGCGCACGTTTTTTTTTAAGAATTAATGATTTAAAATAGTTTAGATAACTAAATGGACTATTTATAATTATTGTGATCAGTTAAAAAACAAAAAAGTACATACTTCTTAAAATTGGTTTGTAGTAGTAAGGACTAAGGAGTTATTAATTATAATGAACTTATGTATTTTATATGATTATCAAAAATTATAGTTTACTATTAGAACTTCTTGTAAAAAAAAAAAAAAAACAATGTTTATGTGTTTACATTTTAGAAGAAAATATTATGTCCTCTATATTATATAAACTTAAAATCAAACATTTATTAATACCTTTAACAAAACAAAGAGAGGTAAAACTATGATATTTTCAACAACTATTCCGTGACAATCTTCGTAGCCGATGAGCTTGTAAACAATGTATAACAGTATAATATAGCACGGAGGAAGTAATTAATTAAAATAAATAACTTAAATAAGCATTTGGCAAATATTAATAATAATTTAAAAAACATTGGAATCACGTAGCAAATGTAACAAATCAAATGCAATTAACCTACTACATTAAAAAAAAAAAAAATTAATTTTGAAAATTTATATTTAAAAAAATAAGTTTTAAACATATCTCCGTTAACGGGTAATGTATAAATCATTTTTCGAAAGAACTTGATACAGAAAAAGTTTCTGTACCTACTCAGATAAATTCATATCTATTATCAGTTTTTTTTACAATCACAGATTTTAGGAAATGCATTTTTCTGCAGAACTATGCAGTTTAGTGTCAAAGCCTATTAATACAAAACTAGATTGAGACTGGATCTAAATGTTAACATGGCTGATTTTCGATAAAAATTTGAAAAACGGTAATATTCATTGACGTTAAACTTAAAAGTTCTTAGTTAACTTTATAAATTGCTAGGTCAAAATTAATTTAAAATCTGTATCTTAAACTTTGAATATAAATCAAAGAATTGAGAAAAATTCTGTTTCTCAGAAAATTGTATTTTCTAAGACATGTCTTGTACATGAAAGAAAGAGTGGCGTGGCGTTCTATTAAGATATTAATACAGGTATAATAAAAACAAACCATCTATACTAAAAAAGTACGCCTCGTCACACCTTAATACGTCACGTATTATGTTTATGTAATCACAATAATTTTTTAAGCATGTGTTTTATTTTTTATAATATAATTATACTAATAATAATGATTATTATTTTTTTTTGTCATTTCAGATCTGTCATTTGATAAAATGGGCGAAAGACGTGGTACTAAGGCTTTAGAACTATGGTGTAAACGAGTGACCCAAGGATATGACGGAGTGTCTATCGAAAACATGTCGACATCCTGGAAAGACGGACTTGCCTTTTGTGCATTAATCCATCATTTCAGACCAGATTTAATGTAAGTACAATCTTTTCGTTTGATCGCTTTTTCCATTACCCGAGCTATTTTTAAAATTATATTTTATGTGAATTAGTAAACGTCACATGCCTGTGCATATGATATAAGCGTATTATAAGTGTTTTACAAAAATTTAAGATATATAGAAATCTGTGAATATGCAAGCAAATAAATACAGTGTGTTTAGCTATACTTTAATGTAGCACTCTTCGTATAAAGCGACTTAATAAAATAAAGAATAAATTACCGTATTTTATTTAAGAATTAAATTAGATTATTTAAAAATCTATTAACATATTTAAATTAGCTGAAAATATTTGATCACAATATTCAATCATACGATAATTTTTAAATTTTTATTTGAACTTGTTGTAATAGTCCTCGACAATTATTATGAACTTTAACAATTATTATTTTATTTCCGTCGATTTCTATTTTGTTCCTACAAAAGGGGAAAGAGTTGCAATTCTCAGTACTCGACTTCGTCATTGCTATAATCGAGTTTAATTTGACCAGTCATTTATATATGGTCAGGGTAAATTCGAAAGCTTGACTTAATACTATATCATCTTAGTTTCTAGAATCCGTGTACCTTATATAGTCACACGATTCGTTGTTAACAACGATGTCTAAATAGATTTTTTTTTTTTTTTTAATGTCAAATGTCATTAAATACCGCATTGATATTTAAAAAATAATTTCACATTTATGTGTTGGTTTTTTTACAACACGTTATATATCGTATTTTTTAGTTCAATTTAGTTAAGTAAGAACATAGTATATTAGTGTACGAATGACTTATGAGAATTTTCTGTCTACGTAGTGCGTTTTCCTTTAGATTAATAACCTTCGGTGACAACCGCCAATATTGCCGCTTTCTGTTCCCCTCGCGTTGTCCTGGAGTCAAGGTCGCGTTAACATTTTCTGTATCACGTGTAGGCTCTATGTGTATGTTTCAAATCCTTAATTCGCCACGGTTATTGTAGCATATATATTAGTCTACCCGTGAAATGATTATTTTTCTCATCTGCTACATTAGATAACAATAATAATAATAATAAGTAAAAATATATTGTCGAAAAAATCTCTATACAAAACGCCGCACGTATAACAAAAACGCCAGACATCATAGGTTTATGTCCGGAGTAAACAAGAAAATTAACCGAGGAAAGAAGAATCGAGTGCTTTTTTGCTTTACAGGAGTTGTGCACGCGTTACCCAGCAGACAGACACATGACCGTGGCTAAATTTGCTCCTATCATAGTGGCTCTTTTTTTTTAAAAATATTTTTTTTTTGTTCGGCCCCGTTTGTATAATTTTAGTTCCAAAATGTAATTATAATTTGTTTTTTTTTTTTACAGTGATTATGGTAGTCTAGACAAAAATGATGTTTACGGTAACAACGAATTGGCGTTTAGAATCGCCGAAAATCATCTTGGCATTCCAGCTCTTCTGGATCCCGAAGACATGGCTTGTGTTGAAATACCAGACAGATTATCTATTCTCACCTACTTGTCACAGTTTTACCAAACTTTCTCATCGCAAGGTAAGCATAATCTTAGGAATGAATTATACGACTTGTGTATATTTATTAATTATTTTTATGAAGAGCAATGCGAGGCGCGTAGTATTTTTCATTGAGTTTCTAAAAATAAAAAATATGAATTAATGTTGTGTACATGTACAAGTATGTTTCATCGTGACTTGTCAATTCTTAGATAATAATAGGACACATATATTGTGTATTAACACACCAGTACTGAGATTTCTTACGGCTTAAAACGGCTTTTACAACCATGAAAAAATATATATAAATAAATAGTATACAATTCGTTTCAAAAATAGTTTCGTTATAACTTTTAGTACTTCATCAGCTGTTGTGGTTTTTCAACTTTCAGTGCTACTGCTAAATAGTGGTCACTTACATTTGGGTAAGTTTTTGTCAATAAACAGTCGTTATGGTGGCTTCTGACTTATATCACACTAATAATCTTGAGACCTGACAAATAAGTGTGTGTGTTTTCGGTCTTAAAAAAACATATAAGAATAATAAAATTAAAAAAAAAAAACAAGTCCAACCGAATTCGTGACTGTGTGAGTTTTATGATGTTTTACTCAAGTGGGACTCCTAGAGTCGCGGGAGAGTAATTTGAAGGCGGTGCACGCACACACTTATGTGTTGCTGTGGTTGCCGGAAATGGTGACAGGAAACCTGTTATGTGTCAGGTGCGTGTGATCGATTTGGACGGCGAAAAGACCTGCGGATGAGACCTCCAGTGAGATATGGAAAAAATATTTTAAAAAAAAAACACAATAGTCAAAATACTTATAAGTTCATTGATGATTTTCACTTTTATTTCGAGATAGTGTATAATTCACGCGATCCTGTCAAATATTAGAGCGAGGGTTTTTTAAATGGTAGCAAACTTGATTGGGGCAAACAGACCCGTAGGTCCCCCATTAGATTTCGTAACGCACACAACTTTTTCGTAGGTATTTATTGTAACAAAAACATTATACACAATAGCTGTTATTGGAGTAATACATTTTTTGTGGAAATAATATTTTCAGTTTGACCTAAGCGATAAATTACAAATTATAAAAGATGTCATTTAATTATTATTCTATTACCGTTAATAGAAAAAGTACTAATACAGTTTTGTATTTATTTTTTTAGTTTTATCTTTATTTGAGTTCGTTTAATTGATTTTGCTGCATACAACAAATATAATTTAATAATACTTATGTTAAAACTCTTTAAATACATATTAAATGTTGGCGTAATATGATTGTTGAAAAAAAAGCATAAAAGTATATTAAAAAACAAATACGTTCTCAAAGCTCCTTATAATATTTTTAACACAAACGTTTTCAATCAGTAAAACGATGATTGCCTTTTATTATTGGGGAGGGGGGCTTCAGCTTTATATATATATTTTTTTGGGGGGACGGATGGAGGGCGAAACACTCCTTATTTATGGTAAAATCATATGGTGCTAATACTTTATTACTCTTCCAAAACTACTTTATTTTATGAGTATTTTTTTATGTTAGTATTAAAATAACGCGCTTGAGCCTGAATTAATGTGTATATTATAACACTGCAATTTTATGATTTCTACGTTTCTGGTTCTCTCGCGTTTAGACGATGTTATTGGACGTTAGTAGTTTAGTTTCTTATAAAATAAAATAATATAATGTTCAAGCACTGTTATTTTTACAAGGAAAAAAAATTGCATGTGTAATGTCTATTATTTTTGTACTTTTTCGACATAAAACACTGCGCTGTTTGTATTCACATATGGGCATTTTGTAATTTATCGTGACTTACTCATTGGGTCGGTATAGCCTCGCCGAAACCTTTGTTTCGGATAACAATTATTATTATTACTATTGCGAATGGTCTCGAGTTCGATAGGAGGAGCTGGAAATGTATTTTGTATAATAATTAGGCCATATAGTTATAGTTGATTAACTCGGTTGCGGCGGCGCTGCGCCGTTTGGCAACTTGAGCAATAGTGTAGAGAAAGAACAAGAGAGACAGAGATCCATAGAAACCGGTTCTTGCAACCGTGTGTATAATTTATTAAGGTCACATGTGCGTTGATCCCAATGAGCGAGACTTTCACTGTTAGTGATTATTTGATTTACCTCTCCCCCAAGTCTTTCGCCATAATCGCGACAACTATTTTGGCAAGACATCCGAAAATTATGTGGGAACCAAATGTCTAAACACCACATTTTATAATGTTCCGTTGTAATAGTTTTGGTATTAATTGTTTCTATTTGTTTTTTAAATGCTAGTTGATTAATTGTTTCTGATAAACCTACTTCCTAATTCAAACCACACACGTCAAGTCGCGATAATTTTTCGGTGTGTCCAAAAATAATTTGTAGTTGATAAAATCGGTAGTAGAGTATTATATTGTATTGTATTATATGCAATTTTATTTAGATTGATTTTACATTGAACTGCAGAAGTCTTTTGTATGCTCTGGTGATGGTAACATAACTGCCAAAATACGTATACGCTATATAGTATTATTTTTGTGGTCGAGGGTTATTTTAATTGCAATATAAATTAAAATACCTATGTCGGTTTTTTTTGTTCAACTCAGTTTGAATTTGGGTATTAATAATTCGCGTATAATTCGCATACGAATGTGGTGGTGACTCGAGAGATGTTACGTTATTGTAATTGAAAAAAATAAGTGTTTTAAATTACCGTTTGGCGAAGAAAACGTGTCTTTAGAGTTTACTTAAGATGTTGAACTGTTTTGTATAAGCAAACTCGCAACTCTGCAACATCAAACAAGACACCGAATGCACGTCCCTCTAAAGTGTCGTACAGACCACCCGAACGCTGATGTCCTTCCGAAATTAAACTGGTTTATGATAAAACATCCGTCGGTGTAACTTAGAGCACCTGCGTAGGGCACACGGGTCGTTTTTTTTGGCCACATTCCAACTGGTCGCGCCGAATGACTGAAAAAATTAAGAAGTATATTGTATGCTTCTTCTTCGTTTGCGATTTTCGGTTCCGTGTGTTAGCTAGCAATCATTTAAATATATCATTTGACCCCGAGATCACGAATTTTCTTTGTCCAATCTCTATCGGCGCACTGGCTTGTTGAGCGAAGCGTGTGCACCAGGTGAGTTCAAAAGGCCAAACAGCTTACATACAAGTACACTAATGATAATAAATAATAATAATAATAATACATACTACTGGTAGTGCAGATAGTTGCGTGTGTGAGAACTGCGAACGACCTAAATAAAAAAAAAAAAAAAAAAACTATCGTGAACAGCCTGTACAAAGTGCGCGATCCTTGGAAAAGATGTGCTATCCTTATCTTGCAACCGATATCTGTGTGAATTTTCCGAATAACTACCTTGTAACAATCGTAATGGCGATTTATGCAACAAGAAGATTATATCATTATAATGCGGGATCGGCAAACGAGGGAGGTCCGTCTCGTTGCTTACAATAACCATCCGATTGTGTTGAAGTACACAGCGAGTGACTTTCCTTTCACTCGTGTAATCATTAGTTATTTTTTGTATTCCATGTTAGTAAACATATTAATTTTCCGAGATTAAAGCGATCGCAAAATACATTTGTAGTAGGTATTGTTAAATTTTTTTAGTTTTTAAAATAGTCAAATAGGTCATAGTCCAATGTTTACAATAAAAAAAACTGAAATCCTGTAGCTTTATAATGTTTAAATCTATCGAATATTTAGTATTCAACCGAAAATATGGGTTTTGTGTGTATAAAAAATATTCCCTTCGGATTTCTTCCAACTCATATTTGACAATTTCGTGGGGTAGATGATGCAGTAGTGTATGTTCAGAATTGTTTTAGACCTTTAGAAACCCTGAAGTCGTTTACCAATTGGAGGCTTTCAGGTTCCCGTATGCTTTTCACTTCTGGCCTTTCTCCTTCTTATCAAAATTGCTAGTTCAGTTCCATAAAGAAAAAAATATTTTTGATTTATAGAAAACTAAAATGAACAAAAGATATATACATTTTTTACTCCATAGTTATATTTACGTGCGCCCTTTTATCATATATAATAAAGGGTGGTTCTCTCTCTAAATATTTTAAGGGGTAAATTGTATAATTATATTCTAACTCAAGCATATATTTTCTTTTTATGAAATCGGTGGCACGTTTGTGTCCAGGCATGAATATTAAATACTTTTAAACGATTCAATAAACCGATAATAACCGACCAACACTTATGGTTTTTTTTTTTTTTTTTTATAAAATAACAAGTAGGTACCTAAGTATAAACACTGAATCATTAGGAGGTTATTACCCATTGTGCGTGGCTTTATATACATAATAATACAGCTAATTAGTTTCTATTACCATTGATTGGCTTCTGTTAAAAAAAAAGACCAATAGTTAAACATTACGCCCAATTAAGTTTAATTAATCATTGAAATGTTTTTAAATACATGTGAATGACTGTTGTAGTATTTTCTGCTAATAGAATACTGCGATTGAAAACTAAACAAAAATCGCCACAGGTTCGCATTAGAGCTTAAACAAAACTGTGAAACAAATAATTGTATTCTATATTATTATTATTGCTAATAGTTTTTTTACTGCAATAGTTTTTTTTGTATTGTAATTTATTATTTTTCTGTATTACCCATATTAAAACAAACTATGAACACTAGTACATATTTACTACGTATTTTTGTAACCTAACAAAGCATTTTATTCATAAACGAGGAATCCTTTTTGCACTAACCTCTTGGATTGGGTTTTATTTACAGAAACTTCAAAAAGAGATCAAACGTTTTGTGATTTATGGTTTTCAATTTTTGAGACGACTATAAAAAATGTAGTAGCAGCAGTATTTGTTGAGAAAAATAATAAAACACATTCTTCAGTGAAATGAATTTATGGCGGAAGTAATTTTCAACCGTACGTTATATAAAGACAAGCCGGGTATAGTGAATACGTATAAGAGAAATACCACCCTAGGGATAAACAAGACACGACTGGCTCTACCCTCACAAAATATCAAACTGAATCCGTACTATGAGTGACACGAACAAGGAAAATACAATAAGACTTTTGAACATAATATTACACATATACTGGCATTATATATACAATGCCCATTTATCGCCAAGTGTTTTTATCTTAAATTGTACATAATTTAATCTTTAAGATGAATATTAGCATTTCCTTACTGTACAAATTCTGAATTTAAATATTAACTTTGTCATTTATTATCTTGGGAACAGAATAAGGCAAAATTTAAATAAATGAAAATAATACATTTTTATCGAATATACATTTTATAAGCGATGATTTTCAAATAAAACTATTTGAATAAATTGGTAGGTTAGGTAAAAAAGATTAGGTTTGAATAAATGGTCATTTGAATAATTAATTATTTTTCCAATCGAATAATGATAATCTCTGCTTGGAGAGCAGCCAAAACTACTTATATTAAAAAAAAATCTTCATTTCAATTTATAATAATTCCAAAATTAAGTCCGGTGAAGCAAAATATAAAAAATGATCTGCGATTTTATTAAAAACTTTTTAAGTTTTATTTAATAATAAATTCTTTTATACATTTAACCTCTACAAAAAAACATGAAGAAGTTAGAAGTGTTGCCAATGGGCCACCGTCTTCTATTACATCATTATTGTATCACGTAACCATTCATACAGTACTTATACTTATTGTTCTTATGTAAGTAACAGAATGTATAAGGTATATAAAAAAAAAATTTAATAGTTTGCAACAGGTGCGTACTCGGGCGTGGGATTCCTGATAATGCTCGCTTGTGCCCTAATGCACCATTTTCATTTGGGTGGCTTGAAGACGGCTTTGCCTACTGTGTGTGTGTGATTGAAAAGTTTCATTTACTTGTTAATTCAAGCTACAAACCTTGTCTATAAGTAATTGTAATCAAATTATAAATTTGAACCTAACAGCCTGTTATAAAGTGTTTAATGTTGGTCGCTCGATATGAAAATTCCGGAAACGACCATTCGCCTGCCCACGCAATAATCAATTACAATCTATGAATTTTCATTAAAAGGCATATTTTAAACGAGTAGGCTAAATATTATAATATTTTGTACAAAACAATGACGCACATTCGTTTTGGTTCATTAATATTATACTCTCGTAGACTCCTCTTCTATTCACAAGACTGCGGCGCTGACTACCGTTAATTGTTTGATTATTCTTCTTTGGCTTGTGCGCCAACGCTTTTCAGTTTAGTCGAGCTGTGTTCGCTATAATATCGCGTGCATACGCGTGCTAGTGTTAATATATTTACAGTAATAATTTATGAAAATATTATATCGTGTTCGGGGTTTGATTGGTTTGTTTGGTTATTTTTCGCAGCCACGACACCCGTGAAGACGTCACCCGAATCGCCAATCACGGTCGAACGGCCCAGAACCAACCCGGGATCCGGCCAAAATCCTCCAACCAAGGTAAATAGTATATTTGTTTATACACAATACTAATAATAATAATAAAAAAGAATAGTATCTAGCGGACTATTAACCCCCTATCCGTGTCCATCACACGTGTAACCTAACACACGTTATTTCGTATTTGGCTTTATTGCGATACACACCTAATACACTTTTCCTTCATATCACAGTCGTCCCAGGGGTCGAAAGTATATAAAAAGAAAAATACAAGCAATATTTTGATTCAATCGACTATAGTTACAGACGGAATTTTATATAAAAACATTAAATTCGATACTAAACGAGTTAATAGTAAATGTATAAAACTATATTTTAGTTTTTACACATTCAAAGTTAAAGTTTACTTGAAAAACGAGTATGTTTTGAATTGAAATCGATTTAACTGAAAATATTTAAATTTTAAATTAGCATCAGTAATAATTTATTTGTACTTATACTTACCGCGTTGCTTGCATTAATTTGATGTGTTCGATGTGATTTTTTTTGGAATCTTAATTTATATTTTCGACCTCGTGATAATATGTTTTTTATGTTTGTATGTTTACAAGTGCTTTATTTTATCCCAAGACCTGTGTGGCTATATTATTTACCCTTAAACGTTTGTCTTTTACTCCAGCTTACCGATGCATTATGAAAACCAATGAGTATTTTAAATGAATATTATTTTTTTGTTGCGTTGATTTTGCCATTACAAATCGATGACAAACTAAACGGTATTTTTACCTTTTAGGCATACTTATTTGTAAAAATATGTTTAAATATTACGACTTAATGATTATTTTAATGTATACAGAGTGCCAACGGGTATAATAATTACTATTTTAATTTTTTTTTCTATATTTACATAAATAATATGTATAAAAAAAGATTTCAATTTTACACGAAACTTTTTTCTTTTAATAACGGTTGTCTTAAAACCAGTTTTTTATTAACTTAATTTGTAGTCTCATATTCAATTTTATAAATATATACACAGTATTATATTTCTATAATTGCAAAATAAAAAAATATTTATATACCTTACTTTAACTGTGATAATCGCCACAAAAAACTAAGCTTAAATGTTTGGAAAGATAAATGTTCTTATTGAGATAGTATACATTTATTATTATAATAAGTAGTATATATACATATATACTACCATTATTATAGATTAATGATGAAAAATATGATGATAAATTAATAATTTATACTTACTAATTAATAGTAGATACTTATTATGATTATAGACAATTTTGCACTGTGTATGTCTTAAAAATATTTCAGCTATATTTTCCACAGATTATTATTGGTAATAGTCATTAGCTTTATCTATTCGTTACGAAAGCTCATGTATCTATTTCATTTTGTCGGTTGATAAACTATTCACAAACTGAACATACCCATCGACCATGTTTTAAAGCTTTATCGTATTTTGACGTAGCAAGTTTAATTATTAATTATTTTTTATATAGTGTATACGTTTTTTTTTTACACTGCAACTTAATGATATGTTTGAGTGTCACACGTTCACAACACGCGTCTTGCGTTTTTTCCTAAACCGTGTATGTAAATTTAATGGCAATAACACATTCATCTACGTTAAAATTACATGTTTTTTATTTTTGTATTTTTATTCATAACCCCAAGCAGACCATTATTTTTATGTTTATTTATTTGTGTTGTCCAGGAGGATAGCTTGGATCTTATGGGATCTTATAAGCCTGAGATCTACTGCTAGAAGGTAAACATATATTTTATATTTATGCTTTTTTTTTTTTTTAAACATTGTAGTACGCTATTTTAGGTTGTTTATATTTTGGTGCGCGATTTTCCTTAAGCTGCATGATACACTTTGCATATGTGTTACGGTATCGATTTTATTTAGCCTTTTCATTATAATTTGTAGTTCGTGGGTGTTTCGTTTAATCAATTCAATTTAACAAGATAAAACCTGGCATGAGTCAAATAATTTCAACAATACGCATGGTAACTTGATAATAATTATAATAATGCTTAATGTAGTATAATATAATATCATTGTTATAAATACTATACTAGTATTATTATCAATAATAATATTTAATTTATGTTTTTTGTGACATAATATTGTCGTTGAAAATATAAAAGCTCCTTTGAAAAAACAAGTAGCAAACAGTATGTTATAAAAACTTTTTGTCGTTATTATAAAATCAGCTGTATCCCCTTGCTCGTTAGATAAAATTTTAAACATATTTTAAATGTATCACTGATGTATACTAACCGCTAAACCTTTGGTGATTATTAGTATTTTTTTAAAAAAAAAATATTTAAATCCTCTTTACTGAAAAAAGTTGTTATAGTTAATAACGTTCGTTATCGTAGGTAAATATTTTTCATTTTTTTATAGATAATCTTTTTTGACGCGTTTAATATTTAAATATCTTTGTAAACTGAGTATGGCTAGTCGATAGTGGGTTTTGAATTACATAACAAAAAAAAATAGGGGGCTTAGGTAACAAGAATTAGATTATGCCTTTACAGTTTTCAGTTGGTGTAATTATAATGTTAACTATTATTGTATGTATGACACTATTTCCGATGTTTTTAAACCTTAGACTGTCAGACCAACATATACCCGTTCTTCCACGTTGGAGGTTTACATGTTATGTGATAACTGATAAGTACTGGTACTTTTTCGTGTTTGGCTTTGATGCGAAACCGGAAACTGAGTGGGTTTTTTTGTTTCGTCGAAAACTATGTTAATACCGCCTTGATTTATTAAGGAAATGATTGCATTTTTTTTGGGCTGAAAAACTGTTTTTTTTTATCAGAATCTTGTAGTTTTATTATTTAAATTTAACATTTTTAAACAGTATATTTTTCTGAAATGTTGTCAGATCGTAAACTAGTTTTAAATAATCAGGTACTAACTTTTACAGTTATTGCCGTTTATAAGAATAGCGGGGGCGGGGTGAGGCTGTAATCCGTCGGTAAATAACCAACTAATTTAATTTGATTTATTTTTGTTTTCTATGGGTCGTTGATTATAAGTTAGTAAAATGGACGTTAATTTTTGTAAATGTTTTATAAAAAGAACGTTGGGTATCTTTCTACTTATCAAGATGAAAAAAATATGGTAATTATACTTTTAAAATTTTGTTTTACATAGCTCGTAAATTACAACGCGTTAAGAGAAGGTTAAATAAAAAACTAGTCGTCGTTGTTTGCACATGACTTTTTTTCCTTACGGGAAATATAATAATAATAAATTAATGAGTCCTCTATGAAAAAAAAAGCAATAGCAATTCATAATAATGTACTTGGACAAGGTCGCCAACATGTGGCCACTATGACACAACGCGTGTGAACACATAAGTGCTTAAGGATTTTTTTTTTGTGATTTCTGTTGGAGTCGATGATAAATTGCTTTTTAACAACTTCCACTGTACAAGATAAAAAGAGTTTAAAAACTTTTTAATGGTTAACTATAATATTATACACACGCGCCGCGCAAAACGACAATTAAAATAATGTCTAGTGAGAACGGTGGGAGGAGATGACGTTAATTTGCCTCCTATCGTTCTCGTTATCTTATCAATAATAAGTAATAACAAAAATAGTTTTTTATCGTGTTTAGGAGAAAATACGAATATCATACTAACGGCAGTGTATGTTGTGTTTGGTTTCGAGTGTTCCTTTTCTTTATTAATTATCATTATGTTGTTGACAACAGTCGAAGAATCTGTTCGCAAATCGTGTATTAGCTGCCTCGGTGCACGTTTTTACAATCGCTCTGTATTGATTCCAAGGCGCTGTTGATTGTGGCCGTTTATTAAGCCTATTATACGCGTGTCTATGTAATATACAAGGTGGTTTAACAAGAACGCCTGAAGTTTGTTATCCTTAAATTAACACACACCTTTTCTCATTGAAGTGGTGAGAACCAAAACTATATACGAATGACCATTTTGATCAAAAACGTGTTTTGGGACATATATTATAAAGGTACATAAATACATACATACATACATTATAAGGGTGGGACAATAAACCGAGCTAATTTCCTATACTAATATATTGGAAAATCGCTCTTTCCATTGCCCTGCTTTTTATTATGTCAATGGTCCATCTTTCAAATTTAACCTATCCTAAATCTGAAATTCACACCTAACCTAACCTGTATGTTTTCAACGCTTACTAAATAATTATAAATGGTCGTTCACCTGTTTTGAATCATTACTTTTCAAATTATTCTCATATGAATGCATAGGCGTGTAGATTAAAAGATAAGCCACATCAGGAGTGGTTTAGCACAGCACTATTATTATTTGCAACCAATTAACAACTGCACCCCCTTTGTCTGTTCTATTAAAGCTACATATTTTGAAAAGCAATTGTTGAAAATTGGTTATCCGATCAGTCATTATTTTTAACGATTATTCTTCATTTGATAAGTGTTTAAAACGTATAGGTGAGTTTGATGATCCAAATTAGTTAGATTAGGTTAGGTTAGCTTGGTTTTTAATTCTTAAAGTAGTTTAAGTTCAATAAAAAATTGAAATCTTAATTATTTCAAATACAAAATGACTATATTAGTGTCCTTAATATGAACCACCCTGTATATCGAGTGTCTCGAAATGATTGTTGTCGCATTGTATTTAAATTCCATTGTCCTCGAGTTCAGTCAACACAATTTATTCACCAATTGTATCAATATATTTTTTTTTCAAATGTAAAAGTTATGTTTAAAAAAGTCGAGTCGTATTCGAGAAATGCCAATAAGTTTTTTAATTATTCTTATTCAGCACAAAAATGAAATCTTTTTTTCAAATCAGTTTGTAAATTTCCGGTTGCTGTAATAATCAATATTCGGCCTAATTTGATAACGTTGATTTAAAAAAAATTATGCTTCAAGTGTTATAAACGAACATAATAATAATCAGATCTGATACATTTTCAGTACTTTTTTGTTATACCTAGTAGTATTATACTTTGCGGTCTGGTCGATTTGAAATAAAATCAGTCGTTCTGGAAACACTCTGTACAAGTATTTTTTTTTTTGCGTATGACCATCTAATGTGTTTGTATGTGTGTAATGTGTATGCAACGTGAAATGGCAAAGTGCACGGAGACAATGCGGCTGTAGACACAAGGTGAGGTCGCAGAGGCAGGCGGGTACGCACACCTAGTTTTGTGCGATTATAAAATGACTCACAGGTAAAAGTCTGATTATATTATATTTTATTATTGTTCTATGTAGCGAATACGTTTGTGTTGACTGACCGGAAACACACGTGTGTATTATTTAAACAAATATGAGAAATCATTTTAAATCAGACAACAATTTTTGCTCAGGATATGTTCGGATTCTGGTTTAGTCGATCACGGTCGAACGACACGGCGTTGGTTTTTAGTTATTGCGGTATCCAAAATTGATTATCGGTAACGGTCGACCGGGATTTTATTTTTATTTTTTTTCCCATTTTTTAATTGAAATTAATAATGTCGCCTGTAAAATTGTGCAGCCGCGGTCGTCGCGGTTTATTGGTTGTTTTTTTGAGTTGTATAATAAGAGTCTATGATATTTATGTGTCGTGACCTTGCCAAATTACAGGTGTTTCTTTCTCTTCGCCTCACCTCTTGCCGCATATGACAAAAAAAAATATGTTACTTAGATACCAACAACCGATCTCGTTTGCTGTGCAATACTTTTTATGTATATTATTATTTCTCGCCGAGACCTGCTGATTGCTCAATGCAGTCGAACAATTACACGTCATCGTTTCTTTTTGTCGTTTTACATGATACTTTCGGTCCGCATACATTAAACGCGATTTACGATAATCATTCATTAATTAGATACTAGTAAATTAATTTTAAAAAAAACATCCGTTGTGGGTGCTAATCCTAGAACACAACGTTAAAACAAGTATGCATTTATTGTAATATTTATATATTTAAATCGTATATATTGCTTTTGATTGGGTTTTTAACAATATTATTGTGCTTTACGCTTTTATAACTTTAAAAGTCAAAATAAAAAATGCTTATTTAGGTATAATGAAATTTACGTTATCACAATTTTTCAAATCACAACTTACAGGTTAATAACCGGGGTTCAATTTAGGAATACTAGAAGGAGAAATAACTACAGACATTGAGTCCACTAAAATAATTGTTATTAAAATTGTGATATCATTAAGCCACAATTATATTGTGACTGATCACTACATAGATTATAATTATTCTAGTTTTATTTTTGTTATTACTATCTATACTGCCCTTACTGCTAAAATAATTTCATCAACATTTAAAACTTAATTAAGCACTTTATAAATGTTTGAGGACTAGTATATTAAAAAAAAGAGGATCAGTAGATAAGATATTATGGTTTATTGATAAGAGATGACTTATTAGTAAAACATGATTTGAAGAGCGACATTTAAAAACGCGGTGATGCTTCAATAAACCTAACCTAACTTTGGCAAAATAAATAATATGATTGTGTGGGTATAAGTTTTCAATTTCAAGATTTAAATTAGTCATAAATAAAACACGAAGCAAATTAATTAAAACTTGATAAAAATGTCTTTTACATTATTCTTATTTTACCAGAGTTTTACGCCATAAGTGGATTTTAAAAAGTTTAAAACAATTATGTCCTCAACGATGACAAAAAAAAAAACCCACTAAAGAGTACAATTATTTTCGAAATAACTTTAAAAATAATAAGAAGTAGAAATGAATGGTAATTCATTTTAAATTTAGACGTTATAATAGTTAAACAAAATTGGAAGATTTAAAAACAGTTTCTAAGCCTGTCATTATTAGGTTTTAGCGTCGTGTCCTAAGTACCGACGTTATTAATGTTTGAAGGCGTCTAACCTTTTATGAAAGGTTTATTTTTCTCGTTTCGGTTTGTAGTAGCTTATGGGGGTATACTTAAGGTATAAAAATAATATTGAAAAGTTGTATATTTCCCCGGGGTACTCTGGCAAATGCAATCGGACGGTCCGCCGTCCATCTGCTGCTTTCATTTACTTTTACTCGACATCTTCACATATACGGAAGAACTTTCTGATCGAGTCCGTTGATTTCACGCACAAACACACATTAGCATCTCGCACAGCGCTCTCAAACAATCGGTATGTCGATTTGTAATGTAACCGCCTTAGTGGTAATCGTTTTGCCCGTCTTAAATATTGTCGTTCGTCTCATGCATATACGTAATAAATAATAATTATTTCATTGTCTTTTACTGTGTGTGAACGTTGTGCGGTAGTCGGTCGTCCGCCGAGTTAGTTTCTTTATAACCGCGCAATCCTTTGCAAACGGATTTTGTTCGAAACGAAATTTAACACCACGACGGACGACGAGAATTTACAATATTATTGTTTTTATAAATCGTACACATTTCGGTAAAAACGCTTAAAAAATATATTCGCATGATGCGTGAGTATAATTATTAACATTAAAAAGTATGGTGTATGGTATAATACACAACTTGTTAAAATTACGGGGCCACGAGGGCTGCATCAATCCTCGTGACCCGCGCTTGTATGTACACTAAGTTTCACTAAGCACTCTGTTAAGGGCATTTAGCATATTTCCGTGAAGTTTGACACGGAATGCCGGTGAATGGTTTTAAATTATTTTAGATTAACTAATTTCTTATGTATCCGAGTGTGGTATATCACTGGTTAGTGGTTGATAAAATATACGCTTTGGTATTTTTTTTTTATTGTCGAAAGAACTGTGCGATAATTTATAACTAAGTAATTAGAAATTAAAAATGCCTATATCAATTGTTTACAATAAAATATCTCCAGCGACGTCATTTTAGTGTTTTAATACAACGACAAACAGTTTTAAGTGAGCCAATTTGTCAGATTTTTTTTGTTATTAACATTTTCCGAGTTGACCTATACATGTGCCTAGGATTGATTACTCTTTCGCCAAAAACGTATATAAATTAAATGTCCATATTTTAAGCAATACATCTTTACATTGGTTATGGCCTCGGTTTTCAATTAATTTATGTTTATTATGCTATATATATATATTTTATGCTAATCATTAAAAAAATACTTTTGTGTACAATTTATCGTAGATTGCTTGATATGTTTTTCTTTACAGCTTCAAAGCATACTAAAAAAAAGTCGTTTGATAAGTGCCTATGATGAAAGCGATATTTAAAATGATATGCCAAATGATAAGAACAAAAAACTAACAGCTTAGATATAGAATGGGCAATAGTGTAGTTTGCGTTATTTAAATGACGCCGCTGAAGATTTAATACCATCATTTCTTGTTTATGATTATGCGACCGGTGTAGAACCAAATCGAATTTGTATTTCTGTACTTAGGGTGTACAAAGGCCAATCTCGAATTAGCAAATTCTGACAAAGAAACATAATATTACAATGTGTATATATATATATATATACCTGGTGATTCTTTTATCATAAGCCACTCAATATCTCATAGGGTTTAATAAGAAATTACAACTTTTTTTAAATATTTTTATATAATGTGATCTCAATTTTTCACATTTGTTTTTGTTTTTACCCCCCCTCTAAACTTAGTTTTTTTGATAGAAACTTTTGAAACTTAAATGTTAACGCATAAATTTCATTAACCTTTTCAATTGAGAATAATGTACTAAACATGTTGACTGGTTGATAACCAGTTTTGGACAACTATTTTTAAAGTTAAGAGTTTAAAAGTTAGGGCGGGAGGGGAAGTGCGCGCAGATAAAAATAATACTACACTCAACCTTTCCACCTGCCCTAAACTTGAAACTTCAATAACTTCAAAAATAGTTATCCAAAACTGGTTATCGACAAGTCAAAAGTTTTAGTACATTATTATCAATTAAAAAAGATAATGAAATGTATGCGTTACCATTTAAAATTCAAAAGTTGTTAATTATTTTTAAACCCTATGAGATATTGAGTGGCCCATGATAAAATAATCACCCTGTATATGTATTGATATATTGAAAATCGTATATGACGTTCACTCCATTGTCTTTCGATGTCATAATTTTTATTTTTGTTAATATGTTTTTGCTTTAAAACTACCATGGACCGAGTAAAAAAAAATAATCTGCCTAGTTATGTTTTGAAGAAGATTGGCCTTTCCGAATCCTAAGCGCAGATTTCTTTTTCCCAACAAACCGTCAACGGCTAAAGCAATGCGATTTTTCTTTTCGTTTGTTACAGTTAGGTGCAGGCGTTGGCGGTTGTAAGGTTTGCAACCAGTCCGTGTTCCTAGCCCAACGTCTGCTCATATCTGGCCACCTGTTCCACCGAACGTGTTTCAAATGCGCCCGGTGCGGCGCCCTGCTGAGCGTGGCCAATTACTACGAGACCCAGGACGGCAAGTATTGCTGCGAGACGTGTCCCGACGAAGAGCGCACGGTGACTGCCGCTGACGGCGTTACCGTCAGTGCCACCGTCGACGACCGCGGGTCTCTAGTGGGCAACCGCCGGGCGTTGTTCGAGACGCTCGCCTCGTCCGTCGACTGCACGGATGACGTGAAAGCGTCGAAAAAAGCTCAGCGACCCGCCACCCTCAGAATGTCGTCGGTCGTCGCCGCCCCGGCACAACCCCAACCGACGACCGCCATCGAAGAAGAAGAGGTCGCGCCGGTCACCGTCGTCACCACCAGCGATGACAATGACAGCGGCGTGATCGTTAGCGACAAAAAGGAAGAAAGAGCCGTCGGCGAGAAGAAGACGTCCGCCAGCGTGTGCGGGAGTCACGAGAGTCTGTCCGACACCGTCGCCGACGAACCCAAAGAAGACGATGAAGAAGAGGAAGTCGTTCCCCATATCGACTCGGAGACAAAGGTGGCGGCCGAGGAGAAAGAGGAGAAGAAGGCGAACGTAGAAGACACGACTGTCGTGTCCCCCGAACCGCCGCCGCCGCCGCCGCCCACCGTTAATTCCGTCTCCGAATTCCTAGAATCGAATAACTTGAGTAGTCCGTGTTCGCTGCCGGACGACTTGAAAGAACAGCTAAGCAAAGAGTCGGGTGACTCGCCGAACGACGTCCAACAGTCGTTGCTACCGGACGACCTGAAACGTCAGGTTCTAGACCGGTCTCCGGACGAACCCGAGTCGTGCCACAAGGAGTCGGCGGAATCGCCAGAAGACCTGGAAATCAAAACGCTGGCCAACAAGCTGCTCAAAATGGACTACTACGAGAGCAGCGCCAAGGAAGTACCGGTGCCTAGTCCTAGGAAAAAAATCAAGTCTCCGCCTACCCTCGTTGCACCTGTCAACAGCTATCCGGACAGTTTGAATCCGTTTGACGACGAAGACGAAGAAGAAACCGGCACAAATCACAAACAAGACAAGCACGACAACAGCAGCAACACAAATCCTTTCGGTTCGGACTTGGAAGACGAGGAAGAACTACCGATCAAGAAGAAGACGCCGGCCAGTTTGAATCCGTTTTCGAGTGACGATGACGATGACGCGGCCGTGCCTCCACCTCCTCAACCGAAACCCAGGTATGCGTTTTTAACGCGGCGACTAGTGTTCATATCCGCTGCTCCATAAGTCCCGCTTTCAGTATTATTTATTTAATCGAGATAAAACGTCTCTCTTTTCCCGCCCCGCCGTTCCAAAGTGCGTTTTTCCATATTATTCTGCCCCCCGTAAATATTGCTTTTCTATTGAAATTCCGACGGGGACGTTTTGATACATACATTTTTCCGGTGTAAATCTGCGATGAGGTAGTAAACCGCGTTTTTCTCATATCGTCAACGGATTTAAAAATTCGCTCGGTATTTGCTTTCCACCCTCCTTACACGGTAATCCGATTGTTCGACTCTTATCTTCCACGATTGTCGGTTTGTGCAGTTATTCCGTACTTATGCTTGTTCAAAGACGATTTGAAGTGTCACGAACTCGATTGGTTTGCGGTTCTCGCTCGAGAACTACTCAAACAGTAGTGCATAGTCATCGTGTATTGAATTCGTTTTCCTCACGTCGGCAGACCAACGTCTGGTGCAAATCAATATTGCAAAAATATATATGGTCGTGTATATAACTGCATCGCGTTCGTACGAGTGCGACGGCAATTGTTTCGGTCTACTTTTATTTGAAGTGGTGAGATCCCAACAAACGTTTGTGATAATAACAAGATTTTTAATCCATAAAATGTTTACAGGAATCGAGATTGTGCACTAGACATGGTATGAGTGTTTCAATACTAGAAAGAAATATTAGTTGTTGCCACAATTTGTATGGTTATGAATTCAGATTTCTTACACCTTTGTCACGCTTGTGTTTAATTGAATTGAATTTTGATCAAATTTTTCGGTTTAAGTGTTTAGAATAGTTCGCTAGGCATTGGTGTTTGGACCTTAAGCCGCTGGGCTCTTTTTTGGGTTTGGATGTTTTCTGAAATTTATTTTCTGTCTTGTTCGTTTATGATCCATGAGATCATTTTGAAAGACCAATTATCAGTCTGTTGATACCAATTTTGCGATTACTTCTAGTAAATGTAGCAAGTGTTTCTCAACAACTCACGTAGTCAATTAAACATGACCTTTTAGTAGGATTTTTCACTTCGATTTCCTGTATAACCGTTTACAAGTCTCTCGTGTCTCCCTTTGAGTCCTTTGACCTGAAAACTTAAAGTCAGTGCCGTTCAAAATAACTATATTTTTAGATATAATTATTTTTTATTAAGATATAGTCAATTTGACAATGCTAATTTAAACTTGCTGTGTTTTGAGTATGCCTCTTCTTAAATTTCGGCTAATGGCCACTTCTTTTGTTTTCTCTATTGTTGCGATACTGTATTTTTAAAATAATTTTAAACGTTTTTTTTTTTGTAAATTTGTTTTTAGAACGTCTTTGGGTTCTCCCGTTGTAAAACAGCGGAATAAAACGCATCGGAAACAGAGCAGTGCTTCCAGCATATCTTCTTACTCGAATACTCCGAGGAAGAAAAAACCAGCCCCACCCCCACCCATTTTTAAAGGAGGGTACACCAACGGTGGTGGTGGTAATGCTCACCACATGTCCTCGCCCAACAGTCTCGAGGATTCCAGTTGCAGCGGTAGTGAACCCTCATCGTCAGTGGCCAGCAACCAGGATCGGTACAGGTTGCACAAGAGTACGCACGGCAAATGGAAACGGAAGAAAGGTCCGGCGCCTCAGTGTCCAATACCGCAGAGGAGACGGATCAAGCCCATGCCCATTGCCAACATAAAGCAAGAGCTGCTGGACATCGAGATTAAGCAACAGGAACTGGAAAGGCAAGGTGTTAAGCTGGAAAAAGACATTCGACTTAAGTGCAACGAAGGTAAGTGTCAACGGTAGCGTTGGCAAAATAAACCCAAACCAAAAAACCACCGAGTGTGCCATGCATGTGTGAAGTGAAAATTTAGATAGAGGGTATCAGCTGATAGGAGATAAGGGTTGGGATGTAGGATGGATCAGTTGATAAGATATTAGAGTAAGCGAAAGAGGAAGAATCAGCTAATAAAGTCATTTTATATCAATAATCTCTCTTCGGTGATCTCTTCTTCAAAATTCATTTTCTGTCATCCTTATCAGTAATATATTATGTATTATCTCTCATTAGTTATCATCAAACGCCAAGCCCAATTCAGCGCATCATAAAATGTAGCGTTTAAAAGAACACACCCGGTCTGATATCGTTTGTTTCGCTTGATTATAGACTTGAACAATGTCGACGTTGAAGAAATGGTACTACAGCTGTTCGAGTTGGTCAACGAAAAAAACGAATTGTTCAGAAAGCACGCCGAGCTGATGTATCTGTAAGTACAACAAGTCCAACACGATGAGTGACGATTGGTCGCTGTGTGACGTGCCAACGGTGTTGTAACTGTGTATCTTTTGGTTTTTTTCAGGCGAAGGCAAAACAACCTGGAAGAAGAACACGCAGAGTTGGAGTACCAGATACGTGTGTTGATGTCTCGGCCTGACCACACCAAAACGGATACGGATAAGGCGCGAGAAGAAGAACTCATTCAGAGGTATGTTTGAAAACGTACAGCCGATAGGGTCTGATTATAGGTTGGACTTTAAAACTTTAACTTCTGTTGGTCAGTGACGAAGGTGTTCAAACTAGGACACTAGTACAGCGACCTATGCTGCTTTGTTGTGTATCTGTATAATTGACTCTGTACTGTTTTTTTGTACTTGCATTTAGGTTAGTCGAAGTGGTAGAGAGGCGCAACGAGATCGTCGAGAACCTAGAAAAAGACAGGCTACGTGAAGCCGAAGAGGATCGTAGCGTATTCAACCAGATCGGAACTTTTGCTCAAGGTTCAAAATATATCCATCGTATAGTTTACTAGTTTAAAAAAATATTATTTGGCATCTTTAGTGGTTTGAGGAATGCAGTATTGTTCGTTTTTTAAGGTGATTGCTTGTGTATGATAAACATCCGCTTGTTATTAATAATTTACTGCGTGTTAACCAAACCTTACATGCATTATGGTTTGCCGAGCATGGTTTGTCATAGTTCAAACACCTAACATAATTTTCTAAGTGTATATTCTACCCATTCATTGTCAACATAATTTTAGCGCTTGTTTAACGTTAGGAAAACAAATACTCAGTTTTTTTTTTTTAATTTAACGATGTAGAGATAAACAAAATATTATTTAAAATGCAGCATCTCACATTCGTTTGAGAAGATTAAACATAGGAAGTACACTAACCTTCATATTTAACACCCGATAGTTGATCTGTTGTTTAAAAAAAAAAATGTATTTTTAAAATTGAACTATATATTTTGTAATAGTAATGTTTTTAAAAAATAAATTAATTGCAAATAACTTTTTTAAAAGACTGATTATTTTCTAGTAATTCAATCAATTTTGAGCATTATTTAAATTGTGTTTTTATAAAATAAAATTTTTAATATTTATTAAAAATAAAAATTGATTTAAATGAAAATTCAAATAATAAATAAAAGTTTACTTTTATTTAAACAAATAACCAATTTGTAATTTTAAAAAAATAATCATTTGTACAGTTAAATAACAAATACATTAAAAAAAAAAGTTTTGATGATAAAATCAAATACTTAAACAATAATAACAGGTTATTTAAAATTGTTAAATAAGTATGTACTTAAATATACAATTAACTGAAATTAAAAATGATAAATTATTCCAAATGATTTGTAGTTGAGTATAAACTACATTTATACAATGTATAATTTCTCAGAGAAAAAAGGATTAATGTCTTGCTTAGCTATTTGCATTTTTATAGTTTGCCTTATTTACCATTTGTGACTTTCAATTTTACTTTTTTAGAAAAAAAATGAAATCGATAATGCTTTAACCGAATAATAATTTCATTAGATCATTTACAGCTTCTACTTATATTTTTCTGTTTGTTATCAAACCAAACCTTTTTACAATTAGATCATATTATGCATGGATCGAGCGAGTGGACTTAAGTTCATCCGTGTGATTATTTTATTATAATTCTATTCGTTTTCAGATGAAACTTTGCCATGCAAAAAGCCCGCTGAACCGCCCGCAATGGACGGTAAAAAAACATTTTCCAAAAGACTGCTGAAGAATATCAAAATGGTGAAATCAAAAAAAGACAAGGACTCGAAGGATTCGTCGCCGTCACGCTCACCATCGATATCGTCACACAGCAAAGGCACGCTCAAGAAGCTCATGACGCTTGGCCATTCGTCCAAAAAAACCTTGAGACCAAAGTCCAGTTAGACATTAATTTCGATACTCTAACTGTAAATATATATTATATTGTTTGTATTTACAAGTTTTATTGTGCTTATAAATAAATACGTTCTCGTGTCATGTCCACACAACAAGTCGATCAAGTCGATGTTGTATTTATTTCGTATTCAACAGTACATTGTTATTTTTGACGTACGGTTCAATACAGACATGCGATATAATATTATCATTATTAACTGTATCATATCTATTTTCTACCTATTACATGTTTTGTATTTACGATTTTGACGTTATATCGTTTAAATTTTACAATTATATTCTTATTTAATGCTATTGAATTTTTTTTTTTGTCGTATATCTATAATATAAATAAGTCGGTTTGTTGAACTTAGATTAATGTTAATATTATTTAATGATTTTGCGTACGCTTTTTGTATTCTCACGATTCATATGCTGCAGGATTACATACATTCGTATATAATATTTATATATTTATTATTTGTTGTGTACTTATACGCTTATTTACTTATATTAGGAAACATTCGACAATTATACCAATTACGTGTTTAGCAATTATTAAACTACGTGATAAATGTAGGTCGTTAAGGTACATAATTTATATATTGATGTTTTAATATGTTTATACGCGTTTATAATATAATAAATATTAAAAAAACTGTATTTATTATACTAACATTGTATTAATTTAATTTTGGTATTTTTTATTTTTTTGGACATCGAGAGCCAAATGAGAACTGTAATCTGTCGAGAAAATTATTGCCAAAGTTAACCGTTTAATTGTGGGAAAACGTAATTAAATATTTATCATAGGAACGGAAAAAACTTAATTTGAATATCATCAGTTGTGATACTTCCTGAAGACCTGTACTCTCCTCCCACTTTCCCAATATACTCCTCGCTATGCCCCGACACCGTTATGCTGAGTTTATTATTATAATTTTTGTTTAACGAACGGAATTGATCGTTCTAATATTTTGTATTGTTTTGTACACTTGTGTTGTACATTTTTTTTTTTAAATCAATGTACACTTTAATTTACTAATGCTATCGCAATTATTAACAAAGTTAATTATTACACAGTAATGTAATTTTAAGGTAGTTTTATAAATATTAAATTTATTTAAAATTTAAATTTGCACATCCAAATGCCGATGAAATATTTGAATTTAACGTTCACTCATAAGGTGCAATATTTTGAAGCGGTGACTTTTCACATTCAAGTCTTGATGAACTGACTTTGCTGGGACTGCTGTGATCCTTGTGTGGTCAAAAGACGTCGACGAACATTTCCGAAACACGTACAAAGTCCGAAGACACGGCTGAACACGGCCTTAAACCCTTGTCGGTAATCTTTGTTCATCCAATAGTAGATGATCGGGTTGTAACATGTGTGCGACATGCCCAAAAAGTAAAGGGTGAACCACATGGACGCGTTGTCGTCCCAAATGCTCAGCGACATGGACGGCTCGACGGTTGCTCTTTTCTGAAGAAAACAATCAAAAATACAATATTATAGAAAAATCGTTTTCATTTTTTCAATTGTATTTTTACAATGCATTGTGCCAATATTTTTACACGATCCGAAGCATCAGTACCACCACCACCTACATTGTATTTTGTTTTACACAGAAAGGCCACGGTAAAATGCCAATTAAAATATACACCATCGGACCTATTATAATACCATTACCTACTATAGCAGCTACTCGTACGGCAAACACGGTATCCCTGATAATATAATAGGTATTTAATCGTACCATAATCAGTAATGTGGTGGTGAACAGAGCAGCTACGGACATGGCAAAAGTTTATGAACTGGCCTTTTACAATGTCAACTACATCACGAAATAACGAGTAATTTTATTATTATTAGCGTGAAGACGTGTAAAAACATTTATCATTTTTGACCCGTTTAACGTTATTAAAAAAAAAAAAAAAAAAACAACAATAAAACCTCTTTTTCCAGAACACTATTATTGTTTGTGCATAATTATTCTGAACGAAAACGCTGACCAAAACGCTTTTTGCAAAACGGACGTTTGGCAAATCGAAAATCGAATTATGCCGTTTATACTTACCAGAAAAGTGCTGAACGGCGTCCAAGAAACGGCAAACGCTATGACGACGATCACCATCATTTTTATCATTCTTATCATCTGCAATTATTTTATTGTCTCGTTAATATCGACTAGCCGGGGTGGGGGGGGGGGGGTTGAGGGACCTGGCCCCGTTCAAGTACTTTTATTTTTGATCTCGCCGCGTGCAAGTCTCCCGGGTGTTGCGCCTCGCCGGGGGTCTTCTTCCGCCACAGCACCACTCCAATGCTGGAGTAAGTGAAGATCAATGTGGATATCGGTATGAAAACGTGCAGTGTCGTCAACGCTTCTTTGTACACTAGTTTCAGGTTTTGGTTCTTATACGTCGAATAGCATATGAACGTACCGCATTTCTTGCAAACATGAAAACCCACTTTTTTGTTTTTGCAAACGTTTAACGCAACGCGAACCGGCCGGGGTAGGAAAACTTTGATTTTCAATTAGTTTGATTGGTGTTTGTATTTTTTCCGTTTGTTTTGTTTTACAAACGGGTTCATGGGTTTCAAACTTTCAAGTTTATTTGTGTAAAATTTCCAAAATCGATTTCGAAAAAAAAAAATAATAACCGAAATAGTAGTACCCACAGACCACAGTCGGGGCTTCATCGAAATTATCGCGGAAATGATTAAAAAACATAAAACTTCAACGACTTTGACGTTGCACAATAATTCACAACTAGACTGTGCAGTGTCCAGAGTTACAAAAATAATACCTACTGCAAAATAGAAGAAATTGAAAGAAAGTGTCGGGTTTTTCCCACAACGTACCTAGTATAAAATACAATTTATCAATTTTAATTATATGGCACTTCTGTAGCACTATAGTAGAGATAAAATGAGTAATAACTTAGAAAAAAATTTGGAAAAAACATCATCAATTTGACACTCGCACTGTAGTCTGTACCTATAAAGTGCTGTAGAAATATACCTGAAACTTGTTCTTGTTTTATTTATTGTAGTTGACTGTTTAATAATTTTTTTTTGTACAAGTATTATTTATTAGGAATAACAATTACAGTATAATTTTATGTCATTTTTTATTGCTTATTGCGTTTAACAAACTTTGAAAGCTTTTAAGCTTATTAATGTTTTGTCAGATGAATACTATTATTATAATATTATATACTCTACTTTGATGTATACCAATGTAATAGCCCTTTAAATAGTAGTGCACTTCCTGTATAATATTTTTTATTAAGGTACATAAACAAACTATGGTTTCAGCGAGCTATGTAATTTAATGTTATTTTTTTATATAAATTATTTTAAGTAGGTATGTTTTGTATATTATATGTATAAAAATTTAGTTAGAAATGTTTTCGGTTATGAATTATGATACATATCCAGACTGATAGAAAATGTGCGAATAAGAATTAAAATACATATTATGTATTTGTTCAAGCCTTGCAAGAGCAGATATAGGTACAATTTTAAGTACAGTTAGTGCAATGGCCGTAGGAAATTCAAGGTTTGAACTTTGGAATGAAAATTGGCTTTAGTGAACAGGTATTTAGTTCAACAAGTGGGCAGCAGAAATAACAAAAACAAAACAACCCTTACATTAAGCTCGATCTACCATTAATATGTGCACCGCGTATTACACTAAAGTAAAACTAATAAATACTAATTATTGTACCATCTCTGTAATGTTTACATAAGCAGTACACGTACTGTATTGATCAATAATAATTACCTTGTACCAGGCAGACGGTTGATTCAGCTCGGTAATGGAAGTTATGGGATACGAACTCACTATTGGGATTAACCATACAAAAAAAATGATGGATTTTGTATGGTTACTCTTTGTTCGTGTCCAAAACGGCCATATCACCGCTATGTATCTATTTATGCTGATAGCCACCATTGTGTAAGTACTGACCTGATAAACATTTGGAAGAGTACATCGCAATAATAATAAGAACAGTAAGTAAGTAGAAGTAAGTAAGTATATAGTGTAACGACTAACAAAATATTACTACCACCTTGTACGCTATTTTTTTTTCACAAAATTGTTTTAAAAAAAGATACTAAATTGTTTCTATCTGGCGAGTATTTGAATTACACCCATTGCCACTCTATCAAGTGGGGGCGAGGCTCACCTGGATGAAAACGACGACTAAATAAGCGTAAATAGTACACACTATGCCGTCGAACGGCCAATAGCCAATTGCCAGCACATAGACCACCAGCAGACTGTACAGGAACGACGTGAGCAGATCGGAAACGGCCATGTTCATGATTAAGATATCGATGAGCGAATTGATTTTCGCCGAGAACGTGACCAAGTAGCACACCAGCCCGTTGCCGGCCAAACCCACGAGGATCACCAAGAAAGCCATTGCGAAGGCGACCCATTTGAACGCGGTGTCGGCCGGCGCCCAGGGCCTTTGCTGGCAGTAAGTCGCCATGTCTGTGATGTTGTCGAAAACTATAAACGCGGCCGTCCCGTTGATGCTCGACTCGTTGACGGCCGTCGTCCAATTAGCTTCATCGAAAGTGTCCTGGGGGAACGACAATGGCGAAACAAAATAACAATAACCCAAGTAACTCGCTCGCGAACGGTCGACATTAACGAGTTTTGTATAGGCAATATTTAAGCAAAAAGTTTGTTTATTATAAATTTCGATCGTGTCAATTTATTTGTTCCATTTGTGTAAGCTTCAAGGTGTTATTATTTTTAATTTACACAATTTTTACTAGGTATGTGAGTTGACATCATTTTGGCCTATTTTCGACTAAAAAGTTGTCAAAGAACTCGCGTGTCTTTACAGAATTATTGAAATCGGACCATCCTAAGTAGTGGAAATTTTGTCTGGCTTTTTGGTCTAAAACGTCAAAAAAAAAAAACAGACAGGAGCGTGCTCTTTTCGATATCTTAATGGACCTGAGGCCGTTTTTCCATTCACTTTCTGGGGTTTTCGAGGAACAATTTCTCTTCAACTACTCGACCGGATTGAATAATTCTTTTTAAATCTGCTGGCAAGTTGTAAATAAAAACAGGAAGACTTTACGCGTGAAAATCTGGTACATTTTTTTTCTACTCGAAATTTACCCCGCCATCGATATTAAAAACAAAAACATGCACGAATCAGGCTCACCACATAAAATAAACAGCGCAATAGCTTTCTTACATTTCGAATACATGTACCTTGCACGGCAATAATTTTGATCAATTTATCAGCAGACTTGGACAAATTATTTCAAGTTCTTCGACCCTCATAAATATTTACTGTCACATATCAATCGACACAGAAGAATTAAATAAAATATTTCAAAAAATAAAATAAAGAACAATCCTTTTTTTTCAGAGCCCTTAAGAACATTAACTTAACCCCCCACACAACGGTTTGGAATTTAAGTGCCTTCCGGGTACGATTGCTGATCCAAAGTCTGCCGTGTACAATACTACTCTGAGTTAAAATCGGTTAGCCGTATTGCTCTTAGCAACGTGCATCGTTATCAGTGATGTAGAGCCGAAAACCTGGTAGGTGATACAAATTAAATATTGAGCTAAAAAAATATATGATATATCCAATACCTTTGAACTACATGATGGGTTGTTTTTGGCGTGGCACATGTTGACAATAGTAAATTAATTATTTTCAGAGTTACAGCGTTGCCTGAGCGTGATCATGTTTCACGTTAAAACAAAATGTGATGTATTTACTGAAATATATTACACAAACAGGTTGGCAAAATTTGTATTTTAACGTTTAACGAGGTATTGAAAAAAGCCAGCAATAGTCTAAGAATTATTATAACTGAAATTGATAATATTACTTTTAAAAAACGTTTCGATGCGAAACTGTGTGTATGATATAAACTATTCAATGGGTAAAAATATAAATCACTTTATAGACAATAATTCGTGTTATTTGATTTTTTTAAATTTTTACACGATACAAAAATTAAGAATTGTATGTATTCGGTTAACTTACCGAGCTAAGAATAATCTATTGAACATTTTGACTGATAAATTGATAAATTTATAATATTTAAAAAAAAGTCAAAAATCTTGTAAAAATATTTTCATAAATATAGTATTTTAAAAGTTTTCGGTTCCGTGGCAAATTTTTATGGATTTTTTTATCAGAAAAAAAACCACTCACCATGACTTAAACGAACCAAATAGCAACAGTGTAGGTCTCGAAGCGATTGAAACCGTGGCGTGGCGTCGGTCGATTTGGTGTTAAATAGTATTTCGAAGGAATAATAATATTGCCGGTAAATGTTTTATAATGGAGACCAACACCACAATTTATAAAATTTACAATAATTATTATTATTATTATTATGCACTGTTGTTGACATCGGTGTAGACTGAAGGCCGGTCGGCGATTGAAGTCCAGACCGGCCACAATAACGGTGTCCTAAACCGCCCCGCAGGACTAGGATTTTATTGTGTACACATACTATGTAATGCGCGTTGTGGTTCATACGTTTGTCTATGGTACACCTGTTGCACATTAAAAACAATGCGGACGAATTCAACGGGGATTAATTCGATTTTCGAGTTTTGCAGTTGACTTAAACGACGCGGGATTTAAAAAAACACCATCGTCGCGTCATCAGTATTGTCGTTATGTAAACGCATTTGCACGACAAACGCGATTAAACTAAAAAAAAATAAAAAATAAAAAATTGCTAGGTTTTCAGAAGATTATCAAAAATCGTGGTACGCCGGTCGAATAATCGGATTACCGCAAGGGTGTTGTGTACGCTGTCCAATTGTCATCATAGTTATTTATTTATTTATTTATGAACGGGCTAGGAGCCCAATAGTAGAATACAATTTATAGTAATAAATATGAACACAATAATTAAAGTAAGCAAACACCAAACAATGCAACGGATCAAATAAACAAATGGCAATTATATGAAAAATAAAGATAAAAATAAAAAACCAAAGGTAAAAAGTAGTAATAACAAATTGCAGTACTATTAATAAACTATTTTAAGAGAAGCCTAGGTGCTCGTTACAAATGCGCATCGTACGGCGAATGGGATTATTTCTATCATAATATTGTTATAATATATTCAATCCAAAACCATAATTGAGCAAAAAATATTTATCGCGAAATCGGTTTTATTCCCATAATAATTAGGTCTGTTTGAAGTGCGGCTCTGTTGTTTGGCGTCCTTGTCAGAATTCACATATTTATCGAATCGAAAAAGTATCCCTTTATGCAATTAAAATTATATTTATTACCGGCTATCGCGTTAACCGTCAGTCTATCTGTATTTACACGCTTTATCTTTTACGTTTATAATCTAAATAAGCTCAATAGTTAGAAACATCATGGCGGCGAACAATCATTGTGGAATCGCCAAATATATATTTTGTTTGTATATATTATTGCCAAACGTTCGGCTAAATGATTTCGAATTTCTATTGTTTTGTGTTTCCGTGTATTCACTAAGTACCTCATTATACCATTAAATTACTATTAAACCTAAAATTGACTTGTAGTTAGGTTTGATCTCAAAAAAAAAAAAAAAAAAATACTAATGAGACTCTATTATGCATTCCACTCATCCAAATTAACCAAACTAGGTCCGCAAGCGTTTATTATTAGCAACTTTTATTAACCAACTTTTAAAAAAAATATCATGATTTAATTGGAATCTCGGTTTGTCAAATAGTTAGGGGTTTCTTTTTCTTCTTTGAAACTATTTTTAGCAATAAAACAAATTTTTATTTTAAAAGTATTTTGAAGTTTGAAACGATACGAAACGATTGAGTTGAATTTTACAACAATACTAGTGACCTAGTGGTGATCTAGTGCAAACATTCGAATAAAAACGTTCATTTAGACCGGATTTCCAGAATGATGTTTCCATTAAACATCATTAAATAAAATCTGTTCGATCGTTCAGTGTAGTTTTACTCGATGGACACTGCGAAGAAATTGAGAGTAATAACCTTTTACAGTTATATATTACAGTTAGTGTAGGACTGCTGAAAGGCATTGTTTTATTTATCAAAATTAGATTGTTTGATCTGTCCACCATCGCCGACCGACTACGATTTTAAATTGCAAAAATAGTAAATACACACCCGTGTATTCAGGTAAGTTCAGTAAGTTAATTAGCAGAGGGCCGGAGACAACATACTATGTTGGAAGGGGCAAGTGATAAAGGTGTTAGCAAAAGAAAGTGGATCTCATAAATGAAACTGGAGTTCTATTGTGGCAATAACTTTGATGACTGAAACCCGAATCAACATGAGTAAGCAATAATAATTTCACAAACAAATGACACGGACACCCTAACGAGGCAGCTCGGTCTACTAAAAATGGCGCAACCAAAACTGGGCAAATCTACTTAGAAAAATCAATGAGCCAGCCCTAAGAAAATAAAACTTCCAACGTGAAAGACCATTAGGATGAGGCACAGATAGAGAATTGTGAAACTTACGCCACAAGGACCACCAAACTACTCAAACACCAACTTTACCACCATCCAAAGAGACACCGGTGACCAAACAACCACCGCTGTCATCATCAACGATGTAAATAAACAAGTATAATATGTATATTAAACGTGTGAATATAACAATATACACACAATGTTATGCTATATCCGTATATATATATATACAATTTACGATCATGATAATTTTATATTGTTATTAAAAAAAAAATACTATAATAACCTGCGTTGTGTAAATTATGAAAAAAACTGTTAGTAGGTGCATCATTAATGCACGCATTAACACGCAACTGTGCACTTTTAAATCCATAAATATTACTTAACTGCACTTTAAAAGTGGCACTTGCGAGTTTTTTTACAATAGTGGAAATAATATCCTGTTGTACTCAGCATGAAAATTAAAACACCCCCAACACTTTTTCGGAAACCAGCATTGCGCAATGATTTTAGTTTTACAATACTATATCAGAAAAACATTAAAATTATAATATAATATTATATTATTAGTGTTATAATATATTATGTCTAATTATAATACGGCAGCAGTTAAATGCTAATTATGTTGCATGTAGCCGAAAATATATTTTAAATGTATTTACACCTATTTATAGTGACGACCTTCGATTTATGAGCGACAAACAACTGAACCTGGCTCGTGCTATTGCGGTATAAAATTTCGAAATTATTAAGTAACTTCCCACTTTAAAATCTTATGGCGACAATAATTATTAATGGCTAATGGCAATATTATCGTTCTTGTTTTTTAATCTCGGTCTCCAGTAGTCGGTTTTTAAGAACTCAAATCACTAAAAACAACTTGCTGTTATTTATATTAGCTTAACAACAATACGAAGCAAGCAACGCTCGAAAAATATAATATTAATATTCTAAAACCGCCGTGCACTCGTTTTAAATAACATTTGTTCGGCCATTAACAGTTAAAAAAAATCGAACAACGTTTCTAGTATGTTTTAATAAATGTCTATGTATAATTTTATATTATATATATATATACTATGAGCCAGTATTAAATAAACTTGGGTTAGCAACACTAGCTGATAGGCGTATTTCTGCTAGTCAAGCCTTTGTGAGAAAGCTTATGGATGGATCTATTGATTGTCCTGATTTATTAAGTGAACTCAACTTCAAAGTCCCTAACTTCCATTCTAGATCACCATACCTTTTCTTTGTACCGATTTACACCACTAATTCTTCATATAATAGACCTATTTTCAGGATAATGCGCATTGCAAATGAGAACATCTCCACCTTCACTTTTGTATAACTTGTTAGATTAAATAATTATATATGTATTTCTGTGTCTACAAAAATTGTACTTTGGGCCTCGGCCTGTTTTGTAAAATAAATAAATAAATACTGTAAGCCTGTATCAGTAGTTTCGAATATTTGAAATTTGATACGGCTGCCGATAATATGGTTTTTCAATACCTTCGTCTCATTCCTTGTTCTCTTTTCTATAACCTTCTCCCAAACATTCATGCTATGAATTATCAGTTTTATACCTTTATAATTTCCACACTCCTGCACATCTCCCTTGCCCTTAAATATTGGTACACCTTGTGGTGGTTACCTTAACCACTTTAACCTGTCAACCACTCTATGCCAAAGTTGCATATCAACTGCCACACACCTCCACTGGTAATTGATTATTATACATTTTTTTGTTTCAAAACATTGTATATTATCAATTTTTATTTCTTAAAATAATTTTAAATTGTTTATTTATGTTTTGTTAAAATAATTTTATATTTCACTTTTTTTCTTATATTGTATTATATTCTTTCTTAATATTGTTTTTGTTTATACTTAATTGCTGTACTTGAGCATTTGACTCAAGTAAGTTCAAATAAATAAACAAATAAAACCGCTCAGCACGAGTAGTGGAGTGCCAGTTATTCAACTTCCAATAGCTTTCTCTTGGTGTGCGTATCCGGCCAGACAACTAGTTTGTCATAGGCCACACTGCTCTTCCTTAAAGATATGTATTACCTGCCGGATAATTAATTTGTTATAGGTGCATAATCTTATCCTTTCTCGCTCATCCACACATCCTTGATCCTATTATACGTCCAACAAAAGTGTTATCTTATTTATACACTATAATTTGTTTACACCTATTTATCATCCTCTCGAGGTGAAGTATGGCCGACATAATGATTCAGTAAATACAGCTAGTTTTAGCTAGTGAAATAATAATTGAACTCATAATATTTGCTGGTAAAATTGTATAATATAGAATATATTTTGACGACACTAAGTCTGAGAAAAGGATAGCGTTTAGACTCGAGTGTCTGTAAACAAGTTTTAAAATATCTTGACTCTATTCGTTTGAATACTGATTGTCCCAACACACATTACGGTCTTAACCATTAGGCAACATCGCATCGCATTATAGTAATAACATTTACATAATAAGGAAATCAGGTTTAAGAAAACACGGTCGATCAATATACATCTGAAAAACCACAATTAAATTAATTCATACCTCAATTAGATTACCATATTATATAAAAATCATTCACATACCGTAATGTCCAACCCTCTACCTTTCTCGGTATTAAATTGTCTACAAGTTATTTTCATTTATTTGTTTCAAACGTTCCAAAACTCTCGTTTGTGTATTTTAGTATTTAGGTACATTAAACAAGTATGCCGAGTACACTATTTATATAACAATTATTATTTAAAAAAAAAAAACACTTTTATTGTTATGCCGATACACTTAATGACTTAAGGTAAACTCGACGTTAGTGTTTATTTTAACAAGTCTCTTGCCGGATTAAATATTTAAATGGACGTTATAACTCAATTTGTATTATGTGCATTTAGTATTATTGTGCAATCAGATTAAAGTTATAGTCATTTCTTTTAGTTTTAAGAAGATTAGTGAATATTGTTATCACATTGTGATGCTCAGAATCATCTATTGACCATTTTGACTGATCGTTTAGAAAATCTATACCTAATATTCTAAAAAAGTAAAAATTTTTCCAAATATCTAAAAAAAAAAAATTAATTTATTAGATTTTTTGCACGTTTTTTATGTTGACTAAATATGTTAGTTTTGATTTCAGTTTGTTAAGGGGTGGACCCGGAAGCGTCCATGCTTCGAAGTCCTATTACACATTGTTTTATCTCGTCTTAAATTTAAATATATTTTTCAGCCATTCCACTCACACATAATATAAATACTAATACCTCAGTATGGTTGTCATGGTAATTTTTTTAACCGTTATCATGTACCACACAGACAACAGGATTCTCTTTGAACTTGATGTCAACAGCCCAAAGTATTCTAAGCAATTTTCAGTGTCTTTAAAAGTTTTCACCTACGGCGACATACTTTCTTATATTGTTGTTTAATTCAGTTGTAAACTAATTCTATATATTATGCTGCGTTACTTTCTCAATCACATATTATCATTAGTTATCTATTTTATCACCTATTATTGTTATTTTGACCATCGTTTTTTTCACGATGACGGAACAGTTATTGATGGTTATTGGCAGAAGCCAATGAAACTATAATTGGAAAATTAGCTTAATTATTAATTTTATTTATTTGTTTAAACACACACAACATTTAACACACTATAATAATTATATTTGAAATTTCATTACATACTTTGTAAAATACAGCTTTCAACACGGTATTGTCTAAATAATTGATATCAAGTCCAGTTGATTAGTTGTGTATTCGTGCCACGACTATTGATATACATGTAAATATATATATATTTACATATATATGTATTGTATATATGTTTTCTACAGTTGTGTGATTATACCTATGGCGTGTTCATACACAATTTTCAGCTTTGTGATTAGATTGACCGATTGTCGTCACACGATACGTTAGCCAGCAGTCCAATACACTTACTTTTATTCAGGACCGCATTGGTCCTGTTAATCACATGACAGCCTTGTTTTTAATTATTTTATCCCGTGTCTCGTGTATGGATACATTCCTGGAAGCCAACAATAAATTCCAGTTATTCAAATATTTTCAACAATCGTGCTGATACATGTATAGCCACTTAAATTAGTGTAATTGAATGATAGAAAATGTTAATAGTCAAATACTTTTTTTTAAATTAAATTATTATACAATTTTTCTTGTTTTGAACACATATTATATCTTATAGTAAGCACTTGCAACACTTTGGCATAAACACTAAATCGGTGTTTTTTCTGGTTCTAATAGATATCTGCTGTTTTTGAACCAAACCAAACCTTACAAAAGGATAAGTAGACTTCACTTCAAACACAACATAACAGTTCTCGTAGAAGTTATTTGGTTTATTTGCTTGTTGTGTGTGTGTTTTGATCCACGATTAATTTTCAAATGGTGAATCCATTTTTTAATAGATCTATGTATACATATTTTTTTGTTTATAAAACACACAGTACTATGTACCTACCTCGATGAACGATTCTTCATCAATTAACAATGCAATTTGTGGTGACAACAATTATTACTGGACGGCGAGTGATAAAATCATAAATGGTAAAAAAACCAAGGTAGATAATATAATACTAAACTAAAAGCAAAGTTCAGAGCAAATATCACATTTCTAAATTTTCTACAAAAGACTAAACTATTAAATAATCCAAATCATAGCTGTACATTGTTTGCACGATATTTACAAAATGTAGAGATAATTGTTTACAACTAGCTGATAAGCAAGTTATTTAGAATTTTCCAAACTATTCCAGTTTACATTAATAACAATAGTTGATAACTTTTTAGTGTATAACTTTGACGCTTCAAAGAATAAACTCTATCATAGATATTTGGTTACAAGTTATACAAGTAATTATAAATGTATTCTATAAAATTGTTTAATAATATTTCTTATTTGTTACCACATTACATTATACTCTACATTTTGTTAGGGTAATCAACAAAAGTTGATTCTTTAAATAATAATCGCATGAAATAAAATAAACCTCGCAACAAACTTACAACTAAGTGTTCGTTAAAATACAATCAATAGTAATTAATGGAAATCATAAAGGTTTGTATAAATAAATAGACAAAAAAATGTTTATTAGATAAAACATATATATTTTATGAATTTGTGTTTTACTCATCTATTTTAATGGTAACTCATTTGAGGGGTTGTAAGCAATAGCTTATTAGTTAATAAATATAATGATATTAAAAAAAAAAAAACACAACAATTCACTAAATATACTGACTTAAAAACTGTATTTAACTTATTATACACAATCTAGTTAATCGAAAATAGTTATACATACAAAACATGTTTAAAAAATAAAACTGATATAAAGAGGGCTGAACCGTTTTAGTTGTCCTATGAAATTACTTATTATTATTACAATAATTTCTAATTCAATATAGCCGAATGCACAATATACCAAACAATTGTCTTGTTTTTGAATACTTTTCTAAAACATGATAAATGATTATGTACATATGCTTTAATGGCAATAACCGTGCAACATACAAGTAAGATATGTACATACTTATATTGGCATAGATTCCCGCTAAGCCGTGACCAATTTTTCTTGTTATATCACTTTAAATTACTCTCTCAATAATGCAGCACACAATTGCTGAACATATAAAAATGAAATGGCGTTCCTAAATAAGGGTTGTCGCACCATTAGACAATGTTTTTCACACAAACAACACGTGCATAATTTACATACACGTTTCCATTTAAGCAGTTATTGGTCGTCTCAGCATGTGGGTAAACCTGCCACATCCTAGTATCCTGTGCATTAGGCCGATAAATTCTATTTGGTACTGGTCGTTCATACAAATGCATATAATAGGATTGTAACACGAGTGTGACATGCCCATCCAATATAACAAGAACCACAAGTGAGAATGTTCGTCCCTAGTAATCATCGACAATAAGGGATCTGTATTTGTCAGTGTCTGAAACGATGCAACGTCAACGATAACAAAGTTATATGAATATAGCATGTTTTCCGGGAAGATTGTTTTACATTATCTTTTTTTTTATACCTAAATTGTATGATTTTTATTATTACAAAATATGTTTTCAATGAGTATCGAGTATGAGTGGTCCGAAGAAAAAAACAAGTTGGTGATTTAATAACTTTGTGAATATACTTACAAGAAAAATATTGAAAGGCGTCCACGAGACTATAAATGCTATAACAATAATGATCATCATTTGAATCGTCTGTCGAGTAAATTAAAAATAGGTATTATTGAAACATAAAGTATACTCCAAGTATAACATGCATTCTGTCTGTGTATTGTTTACTTTAATATTAGATTTAGGTAAAGTGACCGATCTCTGCTTTCGTCTTCTTCTCCATAGTGCCACGGCAATACTTCCATATGTGAAAAGTAATATTGATCCGGGTATAAGCATTTGCATGGTGATCAACAATTCTTTATAGACCCTTGGAACGTTTTCGTTCCACCGTGATCCAAAGCACACATACAACTCGCATTTCTATGGTACAGAAATAATAATTAATACAACGTACCGAGTACTAACACATCATCGAAACAATAATACAACACTATTTAGTCGAAACAAATGTTATGAATTTACATTACTTGATACCAAATGGAAGGTTGCTCCACCGAAGTAATATACAAAAACGGCAAAGAACTTATCGCGGCCACTACCCACACCACAGCGATTATGGACTTTGTGTGTTTCCTACTGGCTCGAGTCCTAAGTGGCCAGACTACAGCTATGTATCTGTTTACACTGATGGCCACCATTGTGTACGAACTGACCTGCAAAACATGGGGGGGGGGAGGGAAATCAGTATTAAAATGCCATTAGCGTTCTAATCATAGGCGTAGCCTAACCAAAATTATTTATTTACAGGTGTTAATTATGTAACATATTATTAATTATGTTGGCAGTTTTTCAAATTCAAATAATTGATTTTGATCGGTCGACTGAAATGCACGTACCTGAACAGCCACTGCGATCGAATAGCAAAACATGTAACAAAGTCTGTTTCCGAATGGCCAGTGATTAAGGAACAGTACGTATAACAAAAAAGGCACGTACAGTAAGGACAAAAAAAGATCACTGACAGCTATGTTGACTATCAGTAAATTGATCAGCGAACGCATCTGATACGAAAATATCACAATGTAGCATACCAGGCCGTTGCCTATCACCGCTACCGTCAACACCGTAGTGCCCATCAGAAGACCAATTACTTGGGAAAAATCGTTAGCCGTCAAAGAACCCGGTTTCACATTACATAGCACGTTCACGGTAACGTTGGCGGTAGAGATGTTGCCCACGACCATTTCGAAACAGCCGGACTCGTTTATTAGCAATCCTAAAAGCATGAAAGAAGGTATCATCTGTAAAGAAAAAAAAAACAAAATTAAAATCGTTCAAATAATTGATATAATTTTCATTGAAAATAATAAAACAATATACAGTCTCTGTTTGACATAAACGGAAATCTACGGATAAAGTTTTATAATATATAGTTTAATCAGATCCGATCAAAATACATATCGGGTTTGAAGTCTGGTAAATTATAGTGTACAACGATAAAAAAACAGTTATGGAGTTATGGACAAGGTGAAACATTTTTAACACACTTTGTATTTTGAAGTAAATCGCATTTTTTTTTAAGTATGTCTTTACACGTTTGATGTACTTTGTCCATAGACTGTAAAAATACAGTGACACCACTGATGAATCATCGCGTGCTATGACAATTTTTTTAATGACACGAAACTATACAGTTATTATTATAATATTGTCAATTTAGATAATAAATATGCCTATTTAACTATTTATATTTATCACTAAACGGCGACCTTTAATAGTTTAACCTCGCAAGTGTAATTTGGTCATAAAACGAAAAGTAATGGTCTTAAAGTAAACAACAATTATATTTCATAAACACGACAAAACGCCAATAATCGGTTTAAATTTCAACTATTCATAAGCTTAGAATTATGTTGTCCGATATTGATCTGGAGTCGACAAATAATAATAATTATTTGCAGCGTTGAGTAATTTTTATTTAAGTTAAAAGTTGAAAGATAAATTGATGATAAACGATTTTAATAATGTGCAAAACATACATTGTTCATCATGAAGAGGTAATTTAGCTTACGAAAACAAATTTTTATAATTGAAAATTAAACGTTAATCTATGAATGAAGAATTTTCAATTTACCGACCACCCAAAGTAAGTTGCAATACAGTTGACATTTTGTTTATCAAGTTTCAATATTATTATTTTAATATAGTAGCTATGACTTCATAAATTGTTACATGTCATACTGAATTAAATATAAACACCAGCATTTTGAGAAGTTAAGAGTAAAATTGAAAAAAACAGTATAGAAAGCGGAGCGAAGAAACATTGTTTTATAACAATGTTTTTGAAATCAAAATAAATACATCTATACTTTATAGAGGTTTAAAACAAAAAGATAATATTTTTTCTCGTGTGTAGCATATTTTATTTGAATAAAAATTTATTGCAACTATTAAAATAATAATAACCGTTTAAATAAAAAAGTATTCGCATAATGACCCACTTTGCTTTTTAAATATCTCAAAATAGCCTCTTAATGTTGTTTTTTTTGTGTTTACTAAAACATGGATAACAAACTGTTTAAACAATACTGAATAAGGTATGAGCGATTTCCGCCTTGATCCTATTATCTGAACCCGAACGATTAGTGGTGATGACCCATTGATAGCTGTCCAAAAACCGGTTTCCTTATATTATTATTATCTCTACCTTTCTTAGTTTCTAGCAATGATATTGAAACATAGAAGTTGTTTCTTGCCTAGTCCCGCATTACTCGTTGAATATTAGGCGAGCAATGCTAAACAACAGTACACTGTACAAATAAGGCCTCTGCAGATTTCTTTGAATGACTTATCAATAATCACCCAACTGATAATTACCATTCTGTTTACTTATAAATAATAATAATTATAATAATAGTATTCTTTCTTTAACCATAGTGTAGACTTGCAGTATAACGGTATTTTTACTTTAACTTGTACTCTTTTTAACCATGGCCACAACTTTGCACCGTTCCAACAGGATCCAAATTAGGGTTAATCTGATCGGCAAACTTTAGCCGAGTTTACGTCGATAGCTAAGTAAACCCGTTATGCCCTAGCGTCATTAAAGTAGTAAAGTTTTAGCGATTATCTTCCATCAATCAGTAAGTTATTACCTACAATAACAGTTATTGTAATATTCAACCAAGGTAGAAACTTACAAGACTGATTTAAGATAATTCAGACACGCTTATGATAAAATCACGCAGTAATAGAGAATATAATCGTTTTTTTAAACAGATTTTTACTCAAATTAGTTTAATCAATTAAAACATAATAAAATAAATACCTAATTTGTATTTCATTGAATTAAAACAATTATTATTTTTACTAAGCACTGTGATAACCATAACTTGTATAATTAGTATTAGTCTTTATTTTGAAAATTATTCAAGTGTGGTTTAATAAAAATAAATATTACGCATAAGCTATCAATTTAAATATTTAAGTTTAAATTTAAATAGCTTCGTGAAACTGTCGAAGACCATTTAAAGACTTTCAGAAAGTATTACATTTTTTATACTGAAAGTCCTGAGAATAAATTTTAAATTACAATTTGCTAGAGAAATTGTTGCAAATTTTATCATCACGAATAATTTTTAATACTGACCTTGGAGATAAGTTTAATAGCTAATTTTAATTAAAGCTATTCTGGTCTAGTGACTTCTCGGATTCTCTGTTTGGCAGCATTCGATCCGGCTGGGTTTTCCATTACCGACATTACTCGACTTATTTATTGTTGTTCTCATATTCTTTCGGCACATTTAATTACTTAGATTCGAACTTTTTTCGGAAACACATTTTTTTTTGTTTAAACCTCGAACAAAAAACAATAATAGTTATTTCCTCAGATTGTATTATCGTATACTCTATTTAGAACATAGTAAAAAGCACTGAGCGAACGTTCTCCACAAACATTTTGGAACAAAAAAATCAGTATGATTTGAATTGCATTTTTTAAATTAAAACAAGAACGTACACAGCATACCATCTCAAGTCTCAGCCTCGTGTGGAAGCTTAAACAACACGAGTCCGAGTAGTTTTGATGATCAATAATGAAAACCTGAAGTGTAGTAAATAACGACATTGACTGATTGGGTTGCATGACACGCTGGACCGTTTTAAACGATAAAATACAAACGAGTAAACAACTATACTTGATATAATATTAAAATAGCCATTTTTTTTAAAGGTGTGTGGTATTCCGAAAACTTTCACTGATTTTGAAGCGTGAGTTTGTTTAACTTTTGACAATTGACACTATTTTTTATCAGCATTTAAAACTTTATAAAGGATGACTGAAGATGTTTTTTAAGGTATTTTATTTTAAAGTTATTTTTAAGTTGTGAATTAGATAAAACTGACGTTGAATGATAAAACAAAATATCTGTTCAAATCGTAAATGTCAAAGTTTTTAAAACAATATTCTGTACAAAACAAATTAAAATCAGTTTGTATTAAAAGCAAGCGATATAAAACTTTCAAGCTCAAAATTAAATATGATCTCACAACAAACCGTTTTGATTGTTTCTCTTGGCATTTATTCGGTAGTTAAACATAATATTATACTTAGTTTAAAATGTAGCTAACCAGCTAAAATCAACGTCCTAATAAATAGGTATAAGCAATTTAAAAAAAAAATAGGAAGGACAAATATTACCAAAACGATTGCTATCTACGAGGGTAGATTGCTATCTACCCTCGTAGAAAATATAATGGTGCGTTTAAGCCTTTAGATAGCGTGTTTTATAAAAAAAAAAACGGAATAATATATTAAATAATATTAACCCAAGCTATACTTTTCACCCAAGCGTGTATATTGCCAGTTTATAAATTAACGTAAAATAATAATTGTCGCATTATACAAATATTACAAGGGCGCACATTATTAATCTTGACAGGATAGGTTAAAAGCAATTTTTAAAAGCCAAGCCACCACCCTTTAATGTGTCCATTTAAATAAAACTAAAACTAAAAATGTAATTATGAAATAATATCCAATTGCCTTATATTATACTATAACCCCTTTTTCGAGCGGGCTGATTATGTCGGATTTGATACCACAAGCTCATTCAATCTTTCAATCCAAATTATTTAAACTTAGATATCTGATTGATTGCATGCATTAAGTGCACACGTACATTTTTAAAATTATATTTTACAGTGCTTACACACATACACACTTCTTTGTTTATTTCTGGATCAGTAAAGCCATAACAATCGAGCGAATACAATTATTCCACATAAATTAATTTTGATTTAAATATTCTTGCTATTGAGAAATAAGCCCGATTGGCTTCATTGATCTTAAAATAAAAATAAAAATGTTATAATTGTACAAACTATTAATGTGGTGAGAGTAAATTTTTCTAACTGATTTCGGCTGTATGTGATAGGACGACAAACAAGAAAAATAAATAACAATTTTTCGAAACTTGTAAAATAAAAAATAATCGAATTACCACAATATTTAGTTTTAATGTATTCCACTCTATTGTTAATCTATTCCGTGTAATTGATGATAGTGACAAGTAGATAGGAAAATAAATCGCTATAGAAAAAAAAAGGTCACGGAGAACCCATCTTCGTTTACCCCAGTGTGATTTACGGTGCTGACATTTTATTTTCCTTTATGACCGGTAAATTTTTGACTAAAAACAAACAAAACTTTTATACTTATAACGCCATCCCAAGATAATAAAAATAATAGTATGTAACTCTCAGAGGAAACCCAAATTTTCAACGCCGTCGGCTGTGCAATTAACAACTTATAACCAAACGATAAACCAGTCGTTAATCTTGAACAACTATCTAGGCCTAGTCGGCCGCCTTAATTGAATATCGGTGTATCCTTCAAAGGGCCATCACTGAAGTTCATTTAAAACCATATGACGCGCAACGAAATACTTTAAAATGAAAAAAAAAAAAATAAGAAAAACAATACCCTCTTAGTTTTGTATCTAAGCTATAAAAGCGTGCATTTTTCTTTGCACACATTCAGTTGAATGCCAGTCGAATAGGATGTGTAAAAAGAGGGATTAGCTATTTAGGGTTAGGTCCCGTCCGCAGGGATGAAAACCAAATGAAGTAATATAATTAAAAGTAATTGTTTCACCCTTGCTAAGTACCTAATTTGAGTTATAAAAAAATCTTCCCTCCCCTTGTCCCGTTCTTAGTTGATCACCGCGTTTGCTGTTAATTTGTTTGTACTATTAAAAAAAAAAACACGTATTTTTCATGATGAAAAATTTTTATGACTGACAAAAAAAACTGAAGTGGCATCAGAAAAAATCCTTGGGACATTTTTTTTGGTCCAAGTCGTCTTGTAGGATTATTTGGCTGAGCGTAGGAACAAAGATGTTTTATCAGTAAGTTGGTCTCGGCTACATTTAAGCTTAGAGCAAAATAAAAACCAGTGGTATTTGGTCATCTGATTTACTACTGTGTAATTTGTGGAGATTTTTTTTACAAAATACCGCTAAGTAGAGAAAATCTGGCAAAAGTCGATGGACCGAAAGGT